GTAAAAAATAACCTTAATATTTACAGTCCTTTTTTATTGCCATATTAAGATTACTTTTTGACTCTCCCTCGTAGAAATGACGACTTTATATCCGGGAAGGTGCTATTAGAAATTTTGTTATAGCCAGTATGTGATTGAGATGCAGTAGTTGGATTAATCCAACTCTCACTCAATGCATTGGTCATAAGGGAAATGCGCACACAACCGAGAACTACGTACATGTGTCACATATACATAGATTTCGATTGTGTGCGCATTTTTTCCATGACTGAACTCGTGAGGTCGCATGCACACTTCTGGCTGCAGCGTTCAATTGTTACATGCTCGACAAAATCTGCGCGTTTCGGTCGATTCTTACAAACAACGCCCATCACTTTTCCGTTTCTTTCGAGTCCTTAATAACGAGTTACCGAATTTGAAATGTTTACATGATTTTTCGACGTAATTTTTACTATGGCAACACTGCTTTTTATCACATAGATAAAGTGATTTTTATGAAACCGGCGCTCTAGCTATATTCTAAGGTGGGAAGAATTAATTTTTACTATGGTATGCAGTAAAATTTTACTCGATATATATTTTTCACTTTTCTTTGCAATACTAACTTTTTACTGAGAAAGTGTGAAAATTGTGTTGCTTTATTATTTTTAAAACAATGGCTACTCCATTTAAATTTATAATTCCTTGATGGTCCGCAGCTAGTGCCACATTATAGAAATTTTTGTTATAAAATTTTTTCCGTGCAAAAATTAATTTTATCTACAAATTTACATACATATGAATATTTACATGTATAACTATTACCTTAAAATTACCAACTACAATTGTAATTTTTTACACACTTTTTACACATCTTTCATAATATAATATTACATGTCAAAGACAGAAATATCTTTTAATTAAGTTTGACTTAATTATCGTAAAGCAGTTTATTACTGCAAATCTCATTAACTCAAATCTCATGTAATATCTCTTCGTATCGAACATTGTTTTTGTTTGTGTTTGCACATTTTTAAAATAAATTTTATAAACGCGTGCGCTTATGTTGGAGAAAATAAATGGCCACTATCTCGATCAACTTCTGATTTTTCGAACAAAATTAAATGATGCATACGAAGAAAGCAAGTAACTGTAGATTGACGTAAGAAGGGATTATTAAGGTAGAGAAAACTTGGTGCGCTAGGCACCACACTGGATAAACTTATCTTCCGGACGGACTAGAAAATTTCTTGAAAATTTCTTTATTCTTTAATAAGTTTTTGGTATGCAAGGGAGCCACGTTTTTCTTGAATTGATAAACGAATTATCCGTATCTACACGGCTATTACAAGTGATTTATCGGATAGAAGGGTAGCGAGAATTCTAGACAGGAAGCAATATCGACCTTAATGTTTTATGATCACTTTTACGCCTGTATCTATATATCTGTATGAAATACACTCAGAAAGTGATCATAAACCATCGATAATCGATATTGATAAACTTTTTATAATATTACTCACTATTGCAAATAAATAAACTTTTTTAAATAGACACTTTAAATGCGATACTTATTGCAACGTCCGCTGTTATGACACAGTTTTCATAAGCTGTCTTTGAAACCGCTAAATATTACATTGCTGCATTATGCTTACTTTCGCATCGTCGAATCTTCTTTTACTTAAGCTTGGAGTTGAATTCCAATTAAAAATATAAGCTAGAACGAAAAATTAGGTCAGAATCGACTGAAATATATATGGTTGGGCATTATAAATGCGACTTAGCATAGTCGCATTTAACGGAGATGTAAAATTGAAGAAAGATATTTTCATGTTGCATGGAAAATGCACGTCTCTCGGCGAGATACAAGGAGTAAAATGTGCGTAAACACGAAATAAACTCGAGTCGCATCTTACTCTCGTTGTAATTCATATTTCCGTGATCTGCAGTGTAGCGCACTTTAATTTATATTGCTTTCAGCGCATATACTCTTCGTTCGCCTCGTGATTTTTCATGCTCGAATAATTACAGTAAATTATGAAATTTAATTCATCGACGTTCAATTTAGCGCTACATTGTACAGAAGAGCAATGTTATTGAAATATTGAGTGGGCTTTTGATCATATATGCGGATGCCATACGCATATTCTGTTATGCTATCAGCAAAGTATTCTGGTGCGCGATAAATTAACAAAGTTTTTGCGGTGGAAGTTGGCGAATGAAAATCAGAGAGATCCGGATTCACGGAGCGTGAGATCGTCGTCCTTCTGGCGCGCACGTGTCTCATTTTCGTGTCCGTGTAAATTCGCGCACCGCATCGACTTCAAACCGCCGTCCGTTTCCGCAATTTACCTTGTAACTCTTAATGCGACCTTTTCCGCCGCTATTTTTTCGCCGCAACTTTGCGAACTTCTTCGATGTCTCTGTTTAAAAAACTCTCGCCATTAATAATAACATTTCTGTTTTGTCTTTCCGCTTTACCTAAATTTTTAACGTAGTTAATTACCGAATAATTATTTTATCAATTCATCTTCTTTGTTAGTTACGTGATCATTATCGTCATTTAGATGATAACGCGTTATTGTTACTTCATCACATGTGAAAGCTCCGTTATTTTTGAGAAAAAATAATTTCGATTCCCTCGAGCTATTTGTGCATTCTTTCCTGTAAACGCGACCGAGTAAAATGCGTTGAATCTTCCACGTGCAATATGCGTGCGCTCCCGAAGAGCAGACGAAACGCAAAAGAAGCTGCAATCCGGAGCCACGTCCGGTTGTTGATCCGCCTGGTTTGCAGACTACAGCGATGCGTGTGTCGAGCAAACGCGTTCTCGCAGTGTACGCCGATGAATGTTCTTATGCGATGCAATCGTACGCGCTCGACACATTGGCGTAACATTCGGTGGATTGCGTTAAATCATTTTCGCGTACAGGCTATACTTGAAATATTGCGAAAATCGCGAGTATTCTGTAACGCACAAAATCAGATTCGAATTGATCAAATTAAATGTAACGTCGCGAAATATTCAGGCTGATCCATCGGTTGGTCCTGATCTCTTAATCGAAAATAACCTGTTTCAAAATGAATTTCACGAATAATGTTATTTAATTTTTTTACAAGGTAAAATCTTTCATGCATGTTTATATATACAAAAGTGATGATACGTTGTTCTTAAGAAAACGCTTATTTAAAACAGTGTGCGTCACGTACCGCTGACGCACAGACGGAGGACATGCGTTCCTCGTCTCTTTGACTCTTCTTCTATTTCTTCTTTATCTCCTTCCTGCGGAGAGGATTTCTCTCAGTATCGTTCCAAGCGTTCATCGCGAGGGACCTCGCGAATTTCTAACAGCGTTCTCCGACGTATGACGTGTAGCGCGAGGCGCGTCCGACCGAATTAAAAGTTTCCACGTTTTCTTGGCGAATAGAAAACAAACTAATTTCAAACTAATACTGCGAAAAGATATCGACGGTAAGCTCGTAAAATTGCTTTTATTTTTCACCGATAGAAAATAATATTTTTTTTACATATTAATTCAATTTTACGGAAATTAAGAATTGCGATATATATGCTATGAATAATGATAAAACAATTTGTTGTTTAAAATTTTTCGCGGTCGCGTAAGACATTTTTATTCTCAGTACGTTCTCGGAAGGCTTATTGTGAATAAATCGCGCGCGATAGTCACGTAGCGATTGATGAATCGTTAACACACTCGCGACGGAGGGCCGCGCGTGATGTTTTCTGAATATTAAGAATTTTCATGTAATTATCGGCGTGAGCGCGACAGGAATTGAGAATCGGGAGAATTACGGTGTTTGTACTTGAAAAGACATTCCTCCTCGATATACGTGCTCGCAATCCTGATGGACGATATGCAGCCGGTTCACAATTTCGACATTGTCTCGCACTCGCACGGTGCACGTCACTGAGCACATTCCTGTCGACCCTTTTCCGCGTTTTCTCCATTTTATCTCGCACTTCTTCGAATTTCGATTACGCTCAAGTGTTTAAACTGCATCGTCATTGGTTGCAGAATTTTATCTGAGATCAAAACTGTTTATCGCGAGGTCTGTAAATATTCGTTAGAACGATTAATGTCGATGTTACATTCACGGAAACAGATTTGTAGAAAATAATTTTTGTTCGCGATAAGGTAGAACGCGACATAAAGTACGACGTCTAGTTTTTTTTTTTTTTTCTATATCTACAGCATCCAAAATTAAATTCGCTCTCGCATCTGGTTTGAATAAAATGTTCGTGGCGTGCAGACGGACGAAAAATCATTCCAACTTTTCATCTGAAGTGGCTTCCTCTCGGTAGCGTATTCGCGAGTGCGCTGCGTATTTCGAGACTTCACTGATCTCTCTATCGTGAGTTCGTTCACGTAAAGAGCACGCGCGCGATAGATCACTGCCTTTTTCGATTTCTATGCCGGCCGTGCGAGACCCCGGCGTGCCGTTCTAAACCGTCGAATGTATTTCACTCGGACCTTCTATAACGGCGGACGTGCTTTCGCCCAAGAGCGGTGCAAAAGCCGCGCCTCGTGTTTTTCCTCTCCCGAGCGATACGATGCGCGGACGATGTCGATACCAGAATCCCGGGCCGCCAGAAAGTAAAACGATTCAAGAGATTGCAGTGGTAACGGCAGCAGTGGCGGAGAGACAAGAGAGAGAGAGAGAGAGAGGGAAGAATAGATTTAACCATTGCGTGAAAAGAGTCGAATGCAATGTCCAAATGCTGCGGTCGCATCGGTGGCTGCACGACGACGGAAGCGTATCAGCCGTTGAAGACTCCAACCTATTCGCACGACATTATCCACGAACCGTTCAGAAACGGAAGGGAGGTCCTCAGGAGTCCGAGGGATCGTCGCAGGAAACCTAGCGTTCGCTACGATGTCGTGAGGACTCTCGGAAACAATAGGTGAGGATTTTGAACGACAAGAAAAATTCGATTTTCAGAAGGTTTTAGTTGTGGAAAATTTTTGTACGAAATTCTTTTTTTAAAACTTTGAAAAAGGCGCTGCGGCGAATTTTGTGTATCTATTGGACGGATTAAAAAAAAAATGAATCTCCGTTTTAAATAGTATTTTGAATATTTTCACGAAATGCGACACGACGGCTCGGTCCGCTCGGGAATTGTAGCGCTTCAAGTACAAGCGAAGGCCGTGTTCGAAATTTTGACGTAAGCTCTCTCGCGTCGGGAGCACGTCTCGAGGGCGCGGGCGCCGTAATTATCGCGCTTACAGATACGAAGGCGAGCGGAAGATTTACCGTGCGGCGTTATTTACTCGAGCCGTCTGCGTTTATTCGGTAAACAGTCGCTTCCGTATAATAAGCGGATGATCTACGACCGTCTTTATATCCAACGGCATTTCGGGATGTTTCGCCCACTTCCACGCGATGTAATCTTGTTTGTGTGTGGAAAAGTGGGTATTTTTAAACGTCCGCCCTGAAGACGTGCTTAATCCCGTAGAAGTTGCGTGAGATAAGCGAAATGTATAAGTCATTGGCCCCGGTAATATCTTGAAGTTTTCCAGCAGGAATTGAAATCGTGAGATGCAAAAGCGTGAGTCGGTTTCTTTTGGCGTTATCGCATTGACATCGCGTTCGTCTCGCTTACAAATTACGTGGCAGTGATGAGAGATTAAAACTATGCAGGAAAAATTTCAAAATGTTATTTTACAGGACGGAACTTGATGCAGCTTCAATTTCCATATTCTTTACGGACTTTTGTATTTATGTCTACCGTTCCCATTCTTTATTTTAACACGCCCGAGCGCTATTAATTTAAAATACAATCTCGCGTTAACCATCGTTTTGCTTAAAACCAATCGTAACGGAACATGACTGGAATGTCGGAGCGAGAATGATACCGGCGAGAATTTTCGGCCGTTTTCGGAGTGAGCATGAAAAGGGCGTTGTGGAGCGGGGAAGCGGGGGGTGAGAGTGCATCTCGGCGAGGGCGGGAGGCGAAAGGTCACGTGATCGCCGGCTGGGAATGGAGGGGGATGAGGGTGGGAAGAGGATGGAGGTCTCGTGATTTTTACGCTATCGTACGGAAGTGCTGCTAGTTCCGCAGGAACTCTCGCGCCATACGGATGTTCGCGTACAGCTGTCCCGTCGCGTGTGATCGACTGTGCGTTTGGTATCCTTCTTTTCTTTCTTACTGCAAACTGTGCCTTTTCTGCTTTCCTTCAGCCTCGCCCGAAAGCGAAATATCTTTCTTTCTCACTGCCGCCGTGCCTGTTTTTTCGCAGCCTCTTCTTGTCGTCAAGTGTTTAGTGTCGAAGTGATATTCTTAAGACACAGTCTGGATATGAGGCCACCTCATACGTAGAATATGCGTAGTGACCCAGAACCATCGCGATTCCTTTCACCTACGTTCCACATAACTGCATTTACGTCAGATAATAGCGAGCTCCTCTTAACATAATTATTTCCACGCGAAAATGATAAAACTACTTTTTTCAAACTTGCGTGAACATTTTATATACGATCGCTATATCATTCTATATATATCGGAAAGTTAAAAATATTTTATATTAAAAAGTTAAGAATATGTGAGTCACGACGAAGAAGAGAAGTTGAACATTGTAAAGAAATTTCAATTACAATTTAATTAGTCTCATTTCAAAATGCATTCAAGAGCATCGTTCTAAAATAACCTTGTCTCTGTAATCGTTTGCGAAATCCCCTTTGCGTTCAAGTTACAATGCAATTTTCACAGGAAAAAAAAAACACTCGCTAGGTCAGGAACTCGGTATAATTAATCCAACGTTATTATTACGTCACATCTGTTATAGTGTCTTGAAAGTTTTTGGGCAAGTTTTTCGAGATGCAGAAAGTTTTCGAAAATTTTAAAATTTCTATACATAGAAGATTCGTCCTCTCGAACGCAATCCAAACTTCGGTAAATGATGTTGAAACATTTTTTCAAATCGCCTTTGCATCAGATTCAAATCTATCTCCAGTCGCTGTCTATACGCGGCAATGCGACATAATCTGTACGTCTGTTTTTCATCGCCATTAGTTTTATTTTGCAGCGACAATAATGCATTATTTCGTAGGAAATTGCCGCATCGCGTCCGATTAACATCGTCGCATTATGTGCAACTAGTTGAGGTTCAAAGCGGTTTCATAATTCAACTACAGTAACTTTAAGAGTTTGAAATTTACAGACTTGCTAATAACTGTTACGCTGTTATTGCAAACGTAATCATAAGATCCCATACGCAAACTCGCACAAACTCCTCCAGCACTTTGTTACATTTAATTCATGATGAATGTGAAAAGTTAATCGATACATTTTGACAAAGTACGAATATTTCATCGGAAGCTGAATATCATCGAGCTTCATTAGTTTTAACTTGATACGGCCGTTATCTCAACTCTGGCTAATGATAGAATATTGAATATTCTGCCATTATCCGACGCACAAATTTGTTCACGAGATAAAATTGAGAGATGTATAATTATATGATATCGCGGTTAATTATTGACAGATTTTGAAATAATCATTTGGCCGCGTTTGTTGCACACATACGTACATGCATATATTCGTTACGAATTACTTGACACACGGCGATCTCCGACCGCCTTGTTTGGCTTTCGCAATTTATTTATTTTAATTAGAGCGGCATTTCGCGTGTTGTTGTATCAATATTCTGTTTTAATGACTTCTAACGGCATTCTGTATTATTTGCAATTTCGCGTACGTTTGTTAGACACTTCCCTTTTTTCGTACAGTGCGTCGGGTAGCCGCTAACGAACGACGTTATTTCACGTCGCAGGCTGCGAACTGTGTGCGTTCGTACGTCGCCGTGTCGCGGGGTGAAAGTGAATAAGTCGCGTATGACGTGCACGCGTGTCTCGTGTGCATGCGCGTGCAATACGCGTCGACTTTTGTGCCCGCCCGAGAGAGTGTCGACTGCATCGGTCGATCGGCCGTAAATTCCTTTAATTTGTGTTGTGCAGGGACATCGATCGTACGATCGATCCGCTCCTATTTTGTACGCTGGATACCAAATCGAGGTGAGGAATTGTCGGAATACGGATGGGATCTGTTCCGAGATATTGACCGAGCAATGAATTTCCCAACCTATTCCCAACATATTCCAAGCAACAAATAGATGATTTGCTTTAATGACTCCAAGACCTTTCATATTGGCAGCTTAGTTGACGGGGGAATATTAAGTTTTGTTAATAAAATGTATTGTACAACTTTCAGAGGTTTCGCTATAAAATTTACGTCGCGCGGCTTAGCGCGTCGTTGCCCTAAATCTTGGGATTTAATGCCAGTCGTCTATCCGCTGCCGCGGCCGATATTACCCCGCCGGTTATTGTACGCATTAGATCGGCGATATGTTTATGATTCATTTTAAGATTACGTCGCGCTCGCACGTATATCAATCAGACGTGTGATTTATGCTTGCGTCACATCACTTTAACGCAATACCAGTTTCGCGAAAATATTTCTTAGGATTATTTTGAGTGATAAATTCGTTTGTCTCTTTAATTGGATTAGGACAGAAACGAGCATTGAACTTTCGCAATCGGAAATCTAGACCGTTGAACTTAGGGGATAAATATTTACATTGTCGAGGATATCGCCAATTTAGTGGATCCGGAAAACAGAACTTAACCGTAGGATTTTCACTGTGTGTCGTTCAATTAGTCAGTTTTATCGTACAATTGATAGCGCGGCGCGGATTGAAATCAGTATAAACGAGCAACCATTTGTTTGAACAACAACGGATTCTATCGAGCAGCAGCGCGCTATCGTCGTTTTCAGCTGAGTCCACGCGAAATCATTTTGCGCACTTGTCGAGAGCAAGCGAAACGGACCGGAAACGCGTCTGCGAAATTTATTTTGCCCGACGTGATTCGCCGCCGGACTCACATTCGTGTGACTGTAGTAAGATGGTCAATCGTCCGAAAATTTGTAGGAACAGTAACACATTTTCGCGATTAAACTTGCCTGAACGACCATTCTAATTTTCGCTCGTTCTGAGAAGCTCTTTTCTAATTTGGAAAAAACGAGTAACTTCGGATTGCAACGAGGAATAATAGAATCACTTAAAAACTTGGGTCGTAATAAGGATTAAAAAGTTTCAAACAAATTAGAGTTTATAAAAAAATAGTTAAATTTATTAGTTTACTCATTTGATTTTTTTTTTTTTTACATATTATTTATGAAAAAGACTCTATTAATTTGGAGTTAATATAAATCAGTACATTAGAAATATTGACCAATCAATGATGTCGACTACATATCAGCATCTTTAAATAGAAAAAATTCGTCCTTGATATAAAAAGAGTCCGTCAGATTAGCAATTTTGATAGTAAAAAGGGAAGAAACGCGCGGTAAAAAGAAGCTGCGGCAAGGATGAGGTCGTGAGATGAATGTTCAATGTATTTCTACCTTGTGAAAGGAAGACCAGGGTCGAGTTCGTCTGAAAGCTAAGTAAATCGCAAAAACTGGAGCAACCTTGCACTCAGATATTCTGTTCTTTCGCGCAGGTCAAAGCGCGAAATATTTTCTTTTCTCCCTTTTTTTCCCTCCCTCTCTTTCTCTCTCATTTTCCCATCGCAGATTTTGCGTGCGTCGCGAATCATTAATTCCATTTTCCGCTTCTCATCGCGGAAACTCTTTTATACCGCGCTCGAACATCGTTTTCGACTTTGTGCGCGCACAATGCCGTTATGCCGTTCATTACGGGATATTTTCCAAGAGTTATATCGATTCGCGGTGGACCAGAGGCAGTATTTCGAATAAGTTAAAGTGGAAACGGAAATTGCTGTAGCTCCCGATTATCTCGATTCGTCGCGAGAACTAACGAGAAACCGGGTCGCTTTGTGGTCTAATCTCGTGTAGCGCGATTTAAACAAGTTTCCTCTTCTTTCTGGGAGAATGCTTTCATA